CACATCACCCCCTGCCCCAAAAGCTCCGGTGGCAGCGTGTTTAAGGAGAGGTGCCACAGCCTGTGCTGGGGGGCAGGCCAGAGGGGCTTCTTTTTTCTGATTTTCCTCCCAGGGCAAGGGGCCTGAGGTCATCCTCCATCCTGCTAGCTCCCCCATCCCCTGCTGGCCACATGCTGGAACCCCGGGCTGCTGGATGACCTCTCTGGCGAGGGACCCTGGGATGGGTGAGGCAGGGCTCCCAGAGGAGGGACTAATGTTCCTGACTGGCGCTCGGACTTTCTGCCAGGTGCTTTCGGTCGGTGCATGGCTTCTTTTCACTCTCATGTGACCCAGACGGGTGTCGGTGCCTAACAGCACCTTGCTTCGCAGCTGGGGAAACTGAGGCAGAGAGATTTAGTTGCCTCAATATGTGATGGAGCCCTACAGTGACACTGACATTCCCATCTAGGGAAGGGGAGAGCAAGGTGGCCCCGGGGCCCATGAGGATCAAGTGAGGGCCGGGCAGAGATCCTGCCAGCCAGGCACTCTTCTCGTTCAAGCCTTACAGCCATCCTTCGAGGCAGGTGCTATTCTTGCTCCCACTGTACAGCTGGGGATGCTGAGGCACCACAAGGCTAGGCAGCTTGCTTGCTCACCACCACAGAGCTGGGAGGGGGTGGAGCCTGGATTCGAAGTGAGGCTGCCCAGCTCCCGGGGCCGGGGACTTAACCGGCACCGGCACCGTGTGACAAATACTGAGTGCCTCGGACCTCCGTGCCCCTCAGGGCTGCCCTGGCCCATCTTTCCTGCGGACACTGGGTGCTGCTTGACTGTGTGCACTTGTGTGCTCTGTCAACTTGTCTCTCTTTCTGTGTCCGTGTGTCAGAGGCTCATGGCCCCCGGCCCCTCCTCCTGCAAAGCTGGTCTGGGGCTGCTCTGCCTTCGGGACATCGGAAAAGCCTGTGTTCATTAATAATGGTCCTTGTAGTCCCCGATTAGGAGTGGCGAGGCTGAGCTCTGACGGCCCCTAGAGGGGGTTTCACCGAGCACTGTTGGATCATGCACCCTTTCCTGTGTGCTCCACGTCCTAATTTTATAGCTCGTCAGAGATGGCAGGTGCCTGTTATGGACAGAACTGGGTCCCCCAGAATTCATATGGTGAAGCCTCGACTCCCAGTGTGACTATATATGGATATAGGCCCTATTAAGGGCCTATTAAGGAGATAGGTAAGGTTAAATGGGTAGAGGCAAAGATGTCAGAGATCTGTCTCTCTTTGCACACACAGAGGAAAGGCCATGTGTGGACACAGAGAGAAGGTGCCCTCTGCCAGGAGGAGAAGTCTCACCAGGAACCGGCCCTGTGGGCACCCTGATCTTGGATTTCAGCCTCCAGAACTGGGGGAAATAGATGTCTGTGGTTTAAGCCACTGGTCTGTAGTATTTTCTTATGGCAGTGCAAGCCTACTAATACAGAATGTCTCATCCAACCCCTCTGTTTTACAGAAGAGGAAACGGAGGCTCAAAGAATGACTCTCCTGAGATTCAGAGGGCAGGCTCTGGAACCTCGGCCTGTCGCTGCCCAGGGTTGTCACACTGGTCATAGGCCTGCAGGAGGGTGAGCCGGGCTGGGTGGGGCAGAGGGTGAGCATGGCTGCCCTGCTCTGGTCTGCTGGCTGCAGCACCATTCCAGGCTCTCGGAGGGGCCTTCTCCACATGGATGAAGGCAATGTGCTGGACAAAGTGACCTCTGGGCAGGCTCAGCAGGGGGACTCTGACCTTTGTCTTCACTAGATTGGGGAGTGTTCCTCTGCAGGACACAAACTTTGGCAAGGGCCCCGGCTGGCCCAGCTTCTGGGAGGGACTGGATAGACGCCCAGTTAGGAAGGAACACCCTTTGCCTTCCTTTTCATCCTTGTCTGGATGATACTCCCTGTGCCATATTTTTGTACTTCATAATACAACAGGGTGGCTCCAGCCCAGGATGTGAGTGAGGTTATTTATTTCTCAATGGGCAGCTTTCCCTTGGGTGGACTTGTGCCGGAGGGAAGGCATTTGTCCGGGGTTCTGGCATCAGGCTCTGGGTGGGGGTCGAGAGGCCGGTGGGGCCTTGATCAGCAGCCTTGGGGCTGACTCCTTGGTAGGGCGGTCAGCTTTGGACAGGAAGGACACTCCCTCAGAGAAGCATCAGTCCTGCCTCATATCCTCCACTGGTGATGAAAGCCTTGCTTATCTTTTCAAGACCCAGGAAGACTGGACACCTGGGTGGCTCATTGGAGCAGTTAAGCGTCTGCCTTTGGCTCAGGGTGTGATCCTGGGATCCGGGATCAAGTTCCTCATCAAGTTCACATTGGGCTCCCTACGGGGAGCCTGCTTCTCCCTCTGCCTGTGTCTCTGCTTCTCTCTCTCTCTCTCTGCGTCGCTCATGAATAAATAAATAAATAAATCTTAAAAAAAAAAAGACCCAGGAAGAGGAGCTGGTAGTGGGGTGGGAGCAGGTCATCCATCTCTCCACTTTCTGAAGTCAAGGAGAGCCACAGCGACAGGAGAGCTGGGGTCCTGGAGGTCTGGACCTCCAGTTTCAGAGCCTGGGTGTGCTAGTTGGCCCTGGGGCCGCACACAACCTCTCAGCAGCTGCCCATCTGTCTGAAGCTGTGCTGAGAGGAACAGAGGAAGGAGCACAGCCCTGGGCACTGCAGGGCTGTCATTTGGGCCACTCACCAACTGAGAAGGGCAGTCACTTCTCTTTCAGGCCTTGGTTTTCTATCTGTAGATGAAGGGAATTGGACCGGCTGTCCTCCACCGTCCTGCTCATCTTTAAAGGCTCTGTGGTATATAAACGCTGTCTGGGACTCTATTTACAATTTCCTTGAATGAAGTTTGGTGGGGGCTGCTTTAATTTTTTTTTTTATTTATTTATGATAGTCACACAGAGAGAGAGAGAGAGAGGCAGAGACACAGGCCGAGGGATAAGCAGGCTCCATGCACCGGGAGCCCGACGTGGGATTCGATCCCAGGTCTCCAGGATCGCGCCCTGGGCCAAAGGCAGGCGCCAAACTGCTGCGCCACCCAGGGATCCCTGGGGGCTGCTTTAAAATACACCTGGGATTTTATTTTTATTCAGATGGGGTGAGGCCAGCAGATGATGAGATGACTGCCATGAAGAAGGTTTGTTTGTTACATGAAGTTACAAGTTACATGAAGGTAACTTGTTTGTTACAGTTCCCAAGAGGAGGGAGCTCTCTGGTCCACATAGGTCCCAGAGGTATGCTTCAGAGTTGGTCAGGAGGCAGAGAGAGCAAGGGGAAAACATGGAGCAAGCCTTTATTGTGGTTTGGGGGACAGAATGGACAAAGCAGGGTGAGCAGCTAAAGGTTTTAGGATTGGGTAGTTTGAATAATTTCCACAAGCTCTAGGCTGTAGGGCTGATCTCCAGTTATCCAGTATCTGGCCCTGAGCATTTAGGGTAAGAGCATAGCACCTGGGACTGCTAGCTTGATAAAAGGAGGCGGTGAGGGTCTGGATGCAGGATTGTTTGCATATCAAAGGCATGTTCACAGCACGCTGTTTGCTGTCTCTAGAAATTAGCTAAGCCTGGGAGTGGCAGTCCCTCACAGGCAAGGTTTTGAGATGTCAAAGCATCATAAAATATAGAAAAATAAAAACCTAACTAATACAGGGGTCAGTTCAGGGCATTTCTGGCTTATGGTACCTTGTGTGAATTACAGAAAGGCACCCTCGCCCGCGGGTACAGCAGGGTGCCAGCATGGTAAGGGATTATGGGATATTCCCTGATTCAGGCATCTTGGACTGGGAAAAACTAAACTGCCTTACCTGGTAGCCCTCAAAAATTGGCCAAGATTTAGCAAATAAAAATACAGGACATTCAGTTAAATTTGAATTTCAGATACACAGTGAATAATTTTCTAGTGTAAGTATGACACATAATTATGCCCCATGCAATATTTGAGATGTACTGAAATTCAAATTTAACTGGTTGTCCTGTATTTTTATCAGGCAACCTTAGGCCTTGGCCACTTCTGTCCCTGAATCTCCTCCTCCCACCTCTCTCTCTATTCTTAGGGTCTTTTTTTTTTTTTTTTTTTTTAAGATTTAATTATTTATTTGTCAGAGAGCAAAAGCGCACAACAGGGGGAGCTGCAGAGGGAGAGAGACAAGCAGGCTCCCCCGCTGATGTCGGACTCAGTCCCAGGACCCCGGGACCATGGCCTGAGCTGAAGCCAGACTCATAACGACTGAGCCATCCAGGCGCCCCTATCCGTAGGGTCTTGACCAAGCCCAGCAATTACCCCAGGAAGAGAGGAAGACAGTTTACACAGTCCGCAAGACAGAAAAGGTCAGGTAAATAGAAACATAGGTCGAGAGGGAAAAAGTGGCATGGGGCGAGGGAGAAAAAGAGACAAAGGAAGGTAACGCAGAGAGAGAGATAAGCACACTGAGAGCAGGAGGGGCAGAGGAGGGGAAAGCTGGCCCGCCCCGGCCCCGCCCCGGCCCCGCCCCTCCGCCTAAGCCCCGCCCATCTCCCCGGGGACCCCGCCCCTCCACATAAGGCCTCGCCCCTCCTCGCAGGCCCCGCCCATCCCCGTGCGGGCCCCGCCCGTCTCCGCCCCTCCCCGCAAGCCCCTCCCTTCCCCTCGCGGGCCCCGCCCCTCCGTCTAAGGCCCCACCCTTCTCCGCGCGCGGCCCCGCCCCTCCCTGCGGACCCCGCCCCTCTCCTCCCGCGGGCCCCTCCCCTCCCCCACAGGCCACGCCCTCCCCACTCCCCGCAGGCCCCTCCCCTCCCCCACAGGCCACGCCCTCCCCGCAGGCCCCGCCCCTCCCCGCGCGGGGCCCGCCCCTCCGCCAGAGGCCCAGCTCCTCTCCCCCCGCGGGCCCCTCCCCGCGGATCCCGCCCCTCTCCCCGCAGGCCCCGCCCCTCCCCCCGCAGGCCACGCCCTCCCATCGCCCCGCAGGCCCCGCCCCTCCCCGCGCGGCCCCTCCCCTCCCCCTGCCCCAGGCCTCACCTTGGAGTAGGTGGCCCCATTGATGACCTCTCCCTTCCGCAACCAGATGATGGAGGCCGCGGGCTTGGCGTTGTCTGCGTGGCAGGTGAGGTTGAGGGGGTCCCCCGCACGCAGGCTGATCACAGGCCCCCCCAGGATGACCGGGTCATCAGGTGGCACTGCAGGGGGGAGAGGAGTAGAGAGGTCAGACTCAGGGCGCTGCTTCCCTCCGGCAGGGCTGGCAGGCTGGGCTGGGTGGATTTTATGGAGCTGATGACAAACAATAATTATCGTACTTTAATAAAATGTATAATCCCCTTGTATTATAACAATAATAGCAACAACAGCAATAATCCCTGACATATGCACTGCATGTTTATTTGCAGCCGATGTTCATGCCATCATCTCATCTGACGCTCGTGCCGAGCCTGAGTGGGGACAGGGCAGGCATCATTAGCTCTGATTCACTGATCGGGAAGCAGAGCTCCGCTGCCAGATAATATCTCTACTTTCTTTTCTTTTAACTTCTCTCTCTTTTTTTAACAAAGCACAGTCACATCTGTGGTCTGATTTAATCCTTACAACAGTCTTGCAAGGTAAACGTTGTTATTATCCCAATTATACAGGTCCGGAAATTGAGGCTCAGCAGGATTATATGACTTGCTCAAGGTCGCTGGGAATGGGCGCCAGAGCCAAGGCCTCTGACACCTGCAGCTCCCGGCCAGCCCCTGCCCCTGCACGGCAGGTGATGGGATAGGTGACCCGGCCGGCCGGCAAGGCTGAGGCAGTGTTTCAGAGGGCCCTGCCACGCCGGCACCTCCTTAGCACTTGATTCTTCCAGAGGGACTCCAACTGCCTCATCCCAGAGTTGGAATGCATCTCTGCTGTCCACTTGTCCCACTGCGTTTCATAGCAGGGTGGCCGGAGGTGGGAGGTGCTGCCCCAGTCCCTGGCGGACACTCCATAAACATCTGCCAAGTCCATTGGAGTCATCCCTTTGATCCCCTTGATGACCCCGGGATATAGGGTGAGCACTTACAATGATAGAGGACCATTACTTGAAGGAGGGACCAGAGAAGTTTAATGACTGGCCTCAGCTCACAGAGCCTCTTCTGATGTTGGTGCTTAGGGTCACTTGGAGGGCCTCAGGTCTCTGCGGCTCCCTGGACAAACCGCAGAAGGGGACAGGCTCCCTGGAGACCACCTGAGAAGTTCCTGGTCTTCTCCCACTCCACTCCGCTCCGAGGGAGGGGCTGGCTCAGTCAGTTCTGGGGGCTCCGGGAGGGCTGAGCGGCATGTTTGCTCAGCAGATAGATGAAGCGGAAATTGGGTGATGGTGGGTTGGGGTCCTAGCACAAAAGGCCTTCTTTGCCCAGTTGCCAGAGAAAGCGCATGCTCCCGTCCGGGCCCTGTGCAAGAATCTGCCCTGTGGGATCCGGGAAGACAGGTGTAGCAGCTGCAGACCGCAGTGCCAGGCCAGGCCTGTCCCAGCAGGCCATGCCTTCCCGCCTCTGCCCACAACCTGCCTGGCTCCCCCCTCTTTTCAGGGCCTCCCCTCCTCTGCCAATCTCCTAGTGCGCCCGGGAAACTCCAGGAGGCCCTGGGGCCAGGTAAACACCCGAGCAGCACCCTTGCAGCTGCCCATTCCTTCCTTCCTGGCCCGGAGGGGGCCCGGTTTAGAACTACAGCCCAGTGAGTGCCAAGCCCCAAGTTTCTCTTTTCTGAGGAAAAACAAATGCTCAGCGCTTCCGAGATGCCATCAGCAGCCCCAGAAGGCCCCCGGGGGTCCTGGCCTGGAGAGGCAGTTGGCCTCATCCGACCCTGCCCTGTCTCCCCAGGGGGCTCTGGGCTCAGGCAGATGTTGGTTGTGGGCTGGACGGTGGGGGACAACCCCCCCAGCCCCCGCCCACCCCCAACTCCCTCATTAGTGCCAGAGGCCTCCTTGGTGCTGCTGTGGCCAGAGAGCACGAGGGAGGCTAATGAAGGCTTTCCACACACGGGGTGGGGGTGTGTGTGTGACAGTTGCTGATGAGGGGAATTTTCTCTCTCTGCAATGCTGGGCCCCTTCCAGCAGGGAGGGCCGGGGCTGGGGCTCCTGCCCCCTTTCTTCTGGGCTGGCAGCTCTCTCTCCCGGAGGTGTCCAGGATGGAGACACTCCGGCTGGACTTGAGAGAGCCAGAGAAGTTGGATAGAACCATTTGGAGCTCCAGGAGTAGAAGAAACACTTGGCCATCCTTGTCTCTGGGACTCCCCAGCGAGGGGCCAGGGGATGTGGTCCCGTGGCAAGTGCCCTAAGTCAGAAGGTGAATCCGGCAAGGCCATCCCACCTCCTGGTTTTGTTGCACCAGACACAAACTATGAAAGGACAACAGGAGATCTGGAAAGTTCCTTCTGGCCCTGATTATTTCTTGGGTCTGACGCAGGCAGTGGTTCTCAACCTGCCTGCATAGTACAATACTCTGGGGGAGATTTTAGAAATCCTGTTGGCAGGCCACACCCTGACCCACTCAATTCCAGTCTCTGGAGGTGGACCCCAAGCCTCAGGAGGATTCCAGTGCGTGACCGGGTTTGAGAACCAGCTACCCCTGGGCCTTTGCTCAGGCACGTAGCCCCCTGTGATCACGGTGCAGAGCCTGAGGAGGTCTTTCTAAAAACCAAATACGGTGAGGGGCCAGGCTTCCTTCTTGCTGTTCTAGTCCTGTGTTTTGGAATATTGGATTAGAGGGAGCGCAGAGGAGGGGAGAGGGGAGTGGGACGCTGCTTCACGAGTACCCGGGCGCGCACACACGCTCACACACACAAACATCCATCCTCAGAATGGGTCCTGATTATATCTTCCTAAATAAGTGGTTATCATGCGGTTATTCATGTAGCTATGCATTATTGATTGGCCTTCGCCTCGCTGCACACCAGATGGGGTAGGAGGGGGTGCGGATGGGGCCGGGGTGTGCGGGGTGGGAGTGGGTGAGGAGGGGGGATGTTTGGGGGCCATGAGGCTGAATAGAAATCACAGTAGCTCTTGGCAGCTGTAGCTCCGATGGAAGGGGGCGACTCATTACCTCTCCATTCAGACCGGGCCCAGGGCTGGGGCTGCTGGGTGTGGGGTGGGGGAAGGCGCGCGCAGCCCGAGCCTGGAGATGCATTATTCATACATCGCCCTCCCAGGATTGGTTATTATCCTGAACCACTATAGAGTTTGGTCTCCTAATTTTTAATCACAGGGAAGGTGGAAGCGTTAGCCTTTTGTGATTAATCCGGAGATAAAAATAGTTGACTGTTTTGGTGTTTGTGCTGGTTGTCAGTCAAGAAGAAACGCATTAACTGTTGGGTGGCTGAGGCCTGCGGAAGCCCCCCGGGAGAGCTGGGCCCCAGAGCTGGATATCCGGCCCGGAGGGGGGAGCGGCTCAGAGGGGGGCCGGCTCCAGGGCACTGCCCCACACCTGTAGGGGTGCTTGGTCCTCGCAGTTTGCTCGCCTGTCATCCAGGGTTCCAGCAGGCAGCAGGGGGGGCTCCCCTCTTGCAGACTGGGCCATACACGCGGGGGTGCCACGGGGGGCACCTGCCTCTCCCTGCCTGGGAGGGGGCCCTTGAGGACTTTTCTCTGAGCTCTGCTCCCGGGGGCGACTTGAGTGGCGAGGTATGCTAGGGAGACACTGCCAAGTTCTGCATCAACAGAGAAGGAAACTGAGGCCAGAGAGCGCAAGTGCTGCCCAACGTTATGGGGGAGGGAGGGCAACGAAGGATGGGGATGGGCTCGGGACGCACGTTCCACGTACTAAGGTTCTTCACACCCTCTTAGGAAATAGGAGATTCTGTGGCGAAAAGCTGCTGAGGTGCCACCTGGCCCCAGCTGTCTGTGAGAAGGGGTCCCGTGATGAGGAGCCCTTGAGCTTCTGGGGTGACCGGCTGGCTGGACCGCGGCTGGGCGGAGGGCAAAGTGGAGCGGGTTCAGAGGGTTTCTGCCCTTTTCTGGAATTGCTCACTGCCTCTGCCCAGTGGCTTTACTATGTCACACTGGTTTGACTCATTGGTCTTGGTCCACCCGGTTGGCCAACCTTGCCAGAGCAGGCTGGGAAAAGTCCCCGGGTGCCAGGCCGAGGGCGGCACCTCGAGAACGTCCTTCAAAATCCAGCTGGTCCCCCCCCCCCCGCCCCCGAGTGGGCCCCCCGCTGGGCTTCCAGGCCTCCTCGGGGGCTCTGTTAGCCCAGATGACTGGTTTCCACAGATGGCCGATGGGGCGCATCAGCCCACAAAGACCTGCAGTGGGGACATGGAGGGTCAGGCCGCCTGGTGGCCCCTGGGGGAGAGTGGGAGGCCAGCCAGGCCACCTTCCTGCCCCCAACGGCACGGAGAACGCCCCCCACAGACACTAAGGCCTTCGGAGGGGACTTCTGGGCCTCGTCACCTCACACAGCACATCCTCCACAAGCGCTCTATTAAAAACATGAATCCAGGGGATCCCTGGGTGGCCCAGCGGTTTAGCACCTGCCTTCGGCCTAGGGCGTGATCCCGGGGTCCCCAGATCGAGTCCCACATCGGGCTCCCTGCATGGAGCCTGCCTGTGTCTCTGCCTCTCTCTCTGTGTATCTCTCATGAATAAATTAATAAAATCTTAAAAAAAAAACCCCAAAACCTGAATCCAGTTGTGTGCCCACTAGGTTTCAAACCTGCCAGGGGCTCACTGTCTTCCTAGAACATAGTTGGGAGCCCTCTCTGCTGCCTACAAGCCCCTGTACCTCCAGCCCTGGCCTCATCCACCCCCTCACACACCGAACCCTACCCGCCTCACAAGCCACGCTCAGCCCCAACCCAGGCCTTGCCCTGCTTCTTCTCTGTCTGGACTCTCTAGTCCGTCTCCTTGTCCCTCTGGCTTCTTCCTGTCGTCGAGGGTGCAGCCGGCCTGGCCACCCTGTGGAACAGCCCCCCTCAGTGACTCCCTGCTAGCTCCCCACACTTTATTTTCTTTATCTCCTAGTTCGCTTGTTGTTTGTCTCCCCTTATTACAAAGGAGGCTTCCTGACACAAAGAAAGACCTTGTCTGTCTTGGTCACTGCAGTATTTCCGTGTCTGGATCAGTGCCTGGCGTAGAGTAGGAGCTGAAGAATTTGTTGAGTAAATAAACAGGAGATTGCGGGGTGGGAGGTCTGTCTGGGGGTCAGCAGTGTGTGTGTGTGTGTGT